AGTCAGGGTGGCTTCTGGGTAATACCAGATGGCTAGGCCTCAGACCGACGAAGCCTCTTGGATGAGGGGCGAAACGTTTCTTTTTTAACAAAAAAAACGAAGTCCAGATGACTTGATTCAACCTTTTTTGTTGTTATATACCTGGATGACTGAGAAAACAAACTTTGTGTTTTTGAAACCATTAGTGAAAAGGCCAGACTTCAGGGGTATCTGAGGCAGGCTTGAAACACAAGAGTCAGGGTGGCTTCTGGGTAATACCAGATGGCTAGGCCTCAGACCGACGAAGCCTCTTGGATGAGGGGCGAAACGTTTCTTTTTTAACAAAAAAAACGAAGTCCAGATGACTTGATTCAACCTTTTTTGTGGTCATATATACTGTATTTACAAACTTGAAGATTCGGAGCATCAAAGCCAAAACAACTAGGCTCAAATGCAGCTTTTATCCTAGAGATTGTTGGACTTGTTAACTGACGCCTCCCGTCTTGTCCACACAAAAACATAATGTTATGTATACAAGTACTGTTTTAAAGGAGAAGAACAAGGTACAACACATGAAGGATATCACGCCCCCGCGTGTCCTGGCTGAAGACACCTCTAATCACAAATTTAGCTAAATGAGATAATGACGATAAGTGACAGGCCCAACCTGCACTATATCCCTCTGTCATCTCTGACATTCCTCAGTTCGGTAGCTGCTCTTCACCGAGCCCAGCTGTGCAGCGGTGCAGTCAGGTGTTGCACCTTGTTCTGTCTCCTTCAGGGAACAATTGTTATATGCACGACATTACGTTTCCTTCAGTTAATTCACTCAGTACAAAATATGGAGTATAGGATATGTAAATGCTCTGCAGAGCGGCCTTCAATTTTGGGTGAAATGCAGTATGCTAGTGTAGCACCTTAGACCCAGCAGAAAGAACAGAGTGAACCACAGAAGAGGCTGTCACATCCAAATGATAAAACAAATAAACGTGTGCGGTGAAGACCAACTGGCTGCAGCACAGAGCTGAACAGAGCCCAGGACATTGTTACGCCACTGGTGGAATGTGCTCTCACACCTTGAGGGAATGGGCGACCCCTACTTTTGTAAGCTAGAGAAAGAGCTTCCACAATCCAGTGGATGAGTCTCAGCTTTGAGCATTGAGCTTGACTGGGTTAGCAACACACAAACAGCTGATCACACAATTTTGCATCTCGTGTGGTCAATATAAATGCACAGTGCATGTAACGGGCATAAGGAATGCAACCTCCTTTGCTACTCGGATACAAAAGAAGGTAGACAAAAGGTTGAGAGCTTAATAGTCATGGAACTGTAGTCAAAAGGTCTAACCTTGGTGAGATGTGCTGCGTTTAGTTGCCGACTGACATTAGAGCCATTTGGTGAAAACTGGACGCAGGAGGGATTCACAAACAGATGATGGAGGTCCTCAACCAACCCAATTTGTCAGCATTAGAAGCAGACCTTCCTTATATGTAAGAAACGTCATATCTACCAACTCCAAAGGTTCAACTGGAGGGTCCCAGAGAGCCTAGAGCACCACAGTAAGATCCCAGGAAGGGATATTGAGTTTGATAAAAGGTCTCAGTCTACAGACCCCTTTCAATAAGCCCACGACCTGATGAAGAGCACCAGGTGTGACCCCATCAAAACCAACATGGCAAGCAGAAATAGCCATCAGGAAACCTTTAATTGTGGAAACAAAGAATCATGTCCTACAGATCCTGCAAAACCTTTAAAACATTTAACATTGAACACTGAAATGGGATAATATGCTTGACTTCTCACCACTGCTCAAAGGCTCGCCATTTGTAGTCATATAATCTTCTAGTGAAAAATGCCCTTGCACTCTAGAGCTACCACAGTGGGGGTAAGGTCTTTGACTAACAAGCTGGACCTTTCAACATGTAGGCATGCAACTTTCACAGACCTGGATGTGGATGAAATATTTTCCACCACCTGAGTTTGAAGATCCCGACAGACAGAGATTTGCCAGGGCTGTGCTTCCAGCAGGCTGGTAATCTCAATATACCATGACTTTGGAGGCCATTGGGGTGCCACCAAAATCAGGAACAGACCCTGTCTGCACACCACAGGCAGTATAATTTCCACGGGTGGAAATGCAGTATGCATTACTTCTTGCAAAAGTTAATTGGCCGGGGTAGAGCATCTACCCCCAGCAGAGCATTCTGATCAGTTATGGAAAAAAGAACAGATTACAGTGGGTATTGGTCCAGATGCAAAGAGATCCACCACAGCTTTGCCAAACAAACACCATATTTGAACCACCACTGAGGGATGAAACCTCCATTTTCACACCATCCGTCTGCCTCTGGAGAGCCAATCTGGACCCAAATTCAGTCTTACAGAGACATGAGTGGCCCTGATAGGCAGAAAGTGTATGCCACACCATTGCAAAAGAGTATGAAACAGCTTTAACATGGGAAGGGAATGAGTCCCTCCCTGTCTGTTTATGTGGGAAATCACAGTTCTATTGTCTGTTCGGATCAGAACATGTCTGTTAGAAGTGGACAAAAATGTCTAGGCTCTAGATAATTTATGTGGAGCTTGGAATGTGCTGCTGTCCAAAACTCTTCACTTTTATGCCATTGCACAGAGACCCCACCCTGTTGGGAAGGTGTCTGTGGGCATCACCTTGTGAAAGGACACTCTCCCTTATCTGTGAACCTCAGCACAACATGCCAGACTCCTTCCAAGGGCAGAAAACTGACATGCAGGAGGCAGTTATCTTTAGCTTTCTATGGAGGTGATCTGATGTATACAGCCGAAGGGTGCTAGTCCAATGCTAAAACAGATGCATTTTTAGCAGTCATAGAAGCCATTATGCCCATCTGCTGTAAAATTATCTGAAAACAGTTTGCGTCCCAGCTGAAACAGAGCAAGGCAGCAGTGAAACACTGCTGTTCTGTTCTCTGAAACACAAGCTTTGTTCAACATGGAGCATATTTCAGGTCCGAGAAAAGAAAACCATTGATTTGAATTTAGCAAGCTTTTCTGAATGTGTGACAGAACCTGACAGTTGCGCTGATTCCTGCTCTCTGGAGCTGGCTATCAGAGTCCAGTCATCAAGATCAGCTAAAATGTGGACCCCATTTTCTCTGAAGGGGACTAACATTGTCGTCATACATTTTATAAAGATGCAAGGCATGAGGGACAGACTGAAGGGTAGTATAAAGTATTTGTAAGCCATGTCCTTGAAAGCGAATTTCAGAAACTGTGGTCGGGTTGTATCGCTACATGAAAGTAAGTGTCTGTACGTGTGATAGGTGCAAACCAGTCACCTGGGCTAACAGCTTTTAGAAGCTCCTTGAATGTTATTCTAAATTGGTACATTTGTTGGTACTTTTAACACTTTCAAGTCCTAGAGCAGACAAAACACACACCCTTTTTTCAGAACCATGAAATAACAGCTGTACCAACCTTTTGTTGTTTCTGAAGCAGAAACCACACCTATAGTTCTTTTTGCTAACAGCATCCTTATCTCCTCCCTCAAAACCTTAGTTGCCTCTGCTCCAATGGCTGTGCTTACAACGGCATTGACACAGAGCAGTCTTAGACAGAACTCTAGCCAGTAAACCATAGCAAGAGCTCTTTTCACCCAAAGGGGAGTGCATGTGTGCCAGAGGGGGAGTCGTTCTGCCAGGCAGCTGAACTGTAGACCTGGTGGCGGAGGTGTTACCACCTGCCACAAAAGAGGCGTAACATAATTTGACTGTTGCTTGCAAACATTTGATTTTGATTTTATTTTGTGCGAAAATTCAGTTTTTATTGAATAATTTGGAACTTTTTTACAAGTATTTTGAGCAATTGCTTTTGCTTTTTTTAAGTGGACTATTAACACAAATAGTGTGTGGGTGGGGAAATGATGCTTGGGTAACTGTGTGGGGGAAACAGGCTTCTTGGGGCTGGCACTCTAAACCAAACAAACAAGACACATTTTGGGCATCAGCCAATGATGGGTGATCATGTCTCCCTGCTCTTGACGTCTCTGTGTTTAAAGTCCCACACCTTGGAGGACTGTGACTTCTTCCTCATGAGTTTTTGGCTTTCTAAATAGTCTGAGGTGGGCCCTTGCTCTTGGCCAAATACTGGGAGGCTTGGCCGTGGTTCTGAGGCGATGCTGGCTGGGAGCTGAGGCTCATGGGCAGTGCCACTCTCTTCAGCAAAGGTGGTGATACAGTTGGTTTTTAAGTGCTCATGCTGGACTGGGGGTCCATGTCATGCCTGGGGATGATACAGCACAATGCTTCAGTCTGCTTTTTCCTCAGCTAAAAGTTTTCCCGTTTGGCATCAAGGGCCCACCAGCCATTACCAGCTTATCCAGGTTGGTGACCCTGTCCAGGACATTGTGAGTGTCAGCCACATATGTCTCTGCACCATCATTCTTGATGCATCCTTCTGCACAGGGAGGATGTAGTCGGGATTAATTTTGACCTAATTTAGGAGAGGTATCAGAGTGTTGTTCCCCACCAGGTTCATGGCTTGGTACATATAGAGAATAGTGATGGAGCTCAAAGCACAAGCAGTGGCCACTTGAGCTCTGTAGATTTTGTGCAGCCTTTGCAAGTCACAGCATTTACTAGTAGTAGCTAATTAGCTTGACTTGAACAGGTGTTCTTAGCTAGATGAAGAGTGTAGGAACTGAGTAATGACGGTGATGACAAACTTATATGTAGTGCAGGTGGGGCCTGTCACATTGTTAGCCAGGACTCACAGGAGCTATCCCATACTTCATGTCTTATACTGAGTGAATTGACTGTAAGGCAACCCTTTTTTTCCAAATAGCTTTTTTTTGGGTTTGTTTATAAAAAAAAAAAAAAACAATATCCTCGCAAATACAGCAGCATTTTCTTAAATGTTTTCATTTGCACGGAAATATAGAAAATGACCTCAAATGCTGTAGCTAACTATGCCAGGCCTGTAAAAATAGGAAATATGGCATAAAGAATACTTTTATGTTTACAGGCTGGATACATACTTTAAACAGAATAAGAAGAGAAAGGCAAGGATGGTAAATTAACCTTATTATGGTTACTAATGTACAAGCTTAAAATCAGGCACCACGCCACAAATTCATTCATGGCTACTTCAATTATTCAAGGTTGGCCTTCAGCTTTAGTTTTTTGCTTTTTTTACACCTGCTTTCATATTGACTTTTATGTACAAACGTAATTATAATTTTTTTTATTTAGTATTTTACATTGTTATAGCCAAATGTCCTTCATGTGTAAGTTTTCCAGGTTTCAGAATAACTGCAGAGCACAGCTGAAAGGTTGATAGGTAGGCAGTGTTCACAGTAGATATGGACACTGTTTAGACTGTGTTTTTCATCAAACTGGAAGTACGCATGAATGTATGTAAACCATAGTGCATTGCAAAATATTGATTTTGAGCATGTGCATTGGTTACTGTAAAAAAAAGTCAATACAAGAACAAAATCATTTTTGTGAACACAAGGCTACCCTACCTTATATAAATACCTAATGTTAATAATTTAATTTTTATGTATATGAATGTATTTGTTCAGTGCCCTGAGATGACTTCTGTTGTGAGTTGGCGCTATATAAATAAACTGAATTGAATTGAATTGAATTCAATTGAAAAGTAGAACATCAGCTTTTAGTCACATTGAACTATTTGACCAGAAACGTGCAGGACAGTGAGACTTGACTGGGAGGTGTGTCCATCCAAATAACACAGAGATAAAGCTTTTCTGTTTTTTGAACCAGATTTTTAAAACAAAATAGTATTTTGGGGCCCTTAAAACTCAGTTTTCATGTAGACACAAGTCTGAAACAATAACATATTTTATTGTATTTACAAAATGCCATTCCCTGATAAACAGGGCTTGAACTCGGTTAGAACTGCTCTGCCTAATATTCAATTTAAGTAACTTTATTTATATAGTGCCAAATCACAACAGAAGTTGTCTCAAGGCATTGAACAGAAACAGTCACATTCATACAAAAGCCAGTTAGTAAAAGTTGTCTATCTGAGGAAGCTATCAAAGGAATGTGTTGCTTTTATACTGTCTTTTTATACTGTATTTTACTTTCAGTATATATACATTTGATTTATTTAAAAAAAAAAAGTTTTTAGATACCACTTGTCCTGAGGAAAAGTTGTATTTGTTATGTGGAAACATAAACAACAACTATAAAAACATTAACATTGAAATAACTCGGTACCTAAAAGTCCAACTTGAAGTAAAAAAAAAACTATCTCTTTATTTAAAGCTTCAACACAATTCTATTATTCTCAAGTGTCCACCGTTTTGCTGTTACACTTTTAGTATGCCTTCTGAGAAACGCTGTCACAAAAAGTCTGTCTAAAATAAAAACTACATATTTTTTTTGTCTCTCAAACAATATGAACATGTAAATAAAACCTCTCCGCTCTGGAACTTGTTCTGTCTGCAAGACATCACGTGAGACTCCAGCATACCTTTGACCTGCTGCGACAGGCTCTTTTATGGCTTCTGACCTGCACCTTGTCTCTTTCTCACCCAACAACACACACACTCCCTGTGATCTCTCTCCTCTGCTCGGGGCTTTAGAATAAAGGTTATAAGAGCAGGAGATCTGGGTCAGTGTGTTCTGACTTCATGCATGACTGACTGCCTTTTGATGAGCTGCTCTTGGTTTAACATGACACATACCCAGCACGCGCTCAGACTCAGCACGTTTCTCCAATTGTTTGCTCAACGGTGGCACACAATTAAACCGAAGCACAAGTAAAAGAGCTAAGCATCCTCCTTTCAGTCTCCGACATTACAGGAGCCGCTCCCTCCTCATGAATTTTTCAGCTGAGGTATTTTTAGAGGCTGTTATGTAAGCGGCACCTGTCATGTGATCTCCACTGAAAAGTAGAGAAAACTTGAGGCAGAAAATGAAAGAAGAACATGGAGGGAGCAAAACGAGCAGGACACCCCTCCTCTGTTTTGCCTTCATGCTTTTAGTCTTTTTATCATTTATTTATTTTGTCATTCTTTCCTGGTTTGCTTGCTTTATCTCATTTAATGATTGACTGTGACTATAAGCAGTTACAAGCTGAGCCGAATTTTCAAAAGCAGCAGGGTAGGTGGGCCCTTACTTTCAGGTTGATCACATCTAGATGAAGATTTTAGCGTGAGTGACATGTTAAATGAAACCCATGACTCGGGCTCTAATCCTGGATTTACCTAGGGATCAAGGGGGGCATTAGTTTGGCTCTCTCTGAAGTATGGAGCGCACACGTACACACTCGCTCACAGCAAAACCGTGTCATACACTCCTTCAAGTTATGTAAGTCACTCTCTTTGGCATCAAAGTTATGCTGATGAGGAAGCTGTTAGAGGAAGCCTGTTGACCTCATAATCAACACTACATTTAAAATAAAACAATAGTGTTATATATTGTATACAGGCCCAATGATTGTAATATTTCCAAGTCAAATCTGTGGTTGCTTTGGCAGGTGTTTCTCATGGCTTGACCATGTGTTGCCCATTTTTGTGTCATTTGCATTTATTTTCAGCAGGAATTCTAGAGCCCCATGTGTCGGCTCTGCTTTGGATGGGAGTCTTTGCAACGCTGGTCATCGTTGTACTCATGCCCCAACCGCTGGGCTTCCAGGCCCTGGTCATTGTCACGATCCTTCGCCTCATCTTCTCTGTGGGCCTGGAGCCCACACTCTTCCTTCTGGGTGCTTTCAATGTGAGTTATTTCATCTAACAGGGTCGTGTTACCTTAATTACCCACAGTGGAGTTATAAGGATAAGTCACATCTTTGGATTAGATTTATGTGGAAATATTATGCACAATCCATATCTTACCTGTTGTAGATAGCTGTCTGAATGACCTCAATTTGGAGAAAAGTTTTAATTTAGACCACTGGTCTGAGTCAAACCTGAAACCAACGTGAGCTTTTTTTGTCTTAAAACAACTTCTGTCTCAAAATATTTCACAGTAATTCATTCAAATGCTCTTAAACCTTTACACCCTTATTAATTTTGCATTGCAGTTATTCTGGTAAAATTATTTTAATATACCTACCTGAAGTGTCCCAGACTGAACTAGACCTGCTACAGCTAGTTACTGTTGCTTTTGTGTTTGCAAACACCCATAGTTTCATGCTTTTCCCAAAATATAAGGATTTTAAAGCCTAATGAATTTTTATATATATATTTATAAATGTATGCATATGCTGATGTTTGGTTTTTTATGTTATATTTATGAATGAAAGTGTATGTGTGTTTACCAGTATATGCCTATTTGTTTATACTCTGCACTTTATGCTGAGACTTTTATAAATTTTGTTTAATTTTAGACTGGTCAGATGCTGAGAATGTATTTTCATTTTCTGTAAATTAGACTAAAGTTGTATTCAATTATTCTATTTTATTCCAAGTAAATATTTGTTTGATACAAAACTGACGGCATTAAATGTTTATAGCATGAACTGCTGTAACTGTTTTGAGATTGGAGTTGTTTTAGGACAACTGTTGTTTGGTTTTAGCCCCGCTTGTCAGAATTAAACTCTAAACAGCCTGAATTTGGAGAAACAAAGTGCTATCTACAGCAGGTAAAATACTTATTGTTTATAGCCCGTTCACAGAACCCCACTTCTAAAAATGTGAACTATGACACCAAGTCATGTGATTGATTGTAGGGTTTAAATAGACAACTTTTGAGTAAATCTGATTGTTACAAAATGAAATAAACTTCATCAGAACTTAGTTTTTGGTTAGGTTTGTAGCAGAACAAGTTAAAGTCTGAGCTATTTAAATCTGAAATACTCACTAGATAAGAAGAAGTTTGTGTTTTTATTTGTGGAAACCGTTGAAGTCTTTCTTCTCCAAACTGTGTGAGAAAATGTCTTGTGTGGTTCAGTAATCATTTTCCCCAGAGGAATACGAGCACGAGCTCAAGTTTATGCACTTTCAAGTAGTGAGAAACCTCCACCTCACCAGTTCCACTTCTCCTTTCACCTCCAACACTCGTGCCCACTCAGTGTGCTGTGGCCACGCCTGCGTGTGGCGGTGCCCTCTGAGCCCTGCAGCTGTCTCTGGCAGAGCCTGGCTGTAATACGGGGTGTGAAGTGCGTCACTGGATCCTAAAGAGCCGCCTCTTCACTCGCCAGAGATTTTCTTTTCTTTGCACACACACCAACATGCAACATAAAAAAATACATGGTCTCGTCTCTTTTGTTTACATGTGTGGACAAAAGCAGGTTATTGAGAGAAATCAGGTCAAGGCAAGAAACCAGATAAGATGTTATCACATGCTGCAGTAACCTGGTTACTCTAAAATCTCATTTACATGGACCTGGTCAGATTTCTCCCTTGTGTTTTAGGAATTTTTTATCAGGTTTATCACTTACAAAGTGTGCGGGGTACTGTAGTAGGCAACAGTTTAGCTGTAAAACAATGTATTTAGATAAAAGTTTTACTCTTGATCAGGATATGGTTTTCTTAAAGCCAGCACATAAACTCTGATAGAAAACGGGTTTAATCCAGAATATATGCACATCAGAGAAGTGTTGGGTTTCTCAAGCACAAACTCACACTAACAGCATTAACCTGGATTTTGTTAATCCCCTACCCAGCACAGAAAACTGGGTTTTCCATTTGGAAGAAATTAAGTTACAGGTTGTTCACAAGAGCGAATGCATCTCATTGTCCTCATTAAGCTGAACATTTGCCACAACCTTTTACATGTTAACATTTTCTGTTTGAAGAAACCTAAAATAGTTATTGGTCCATCAGCCTGCATTACTAAAGACTTGGCATTTTATCTTCCAGGTTTGCAATAAAATTATCTTCCTAATCAGTTTTGTTGGAAATCGAGGGACCTTCACGAGAGGATATAAAGCCATGGTGATGGACTTTGAGTTCCTTTATCATCTCATCTACCTGATCATCTGCTGCCTGGGGGTGTTTGGCCATGTGTTTTTCTACAGTTTGTTGGTGAGACAAACATATAATGCATACAGTATGCACATGCTATAAATTAATCCTATTTAATATGCAACCAACGCCTCCCATCTTCAGGAGATGAAATGCGAACTAAACCAATCCTTTTATTAGAACGTGATTCTTTTCTCAAGGTGTGCTCAGTAGCATCATTCCAAGAACGCAAGCTTTGATTTATTTGGTGATGAAATGTAGTTGTCTTTATTTTTTTAAGTGTTAAGCTCTGTGTGCAGGCGCCAAAGAGTTGCTTTATTCTTGTCATATTGACGATGACAGTATTGCAGCTCCTAAATGCAACATTACCGCTTCAAAACAAGTAGGGCCAGGAAAAGGAACATTTGACAAATAATCTAAATCAAGATTTTATATTTATTAGGACTGTGAATATTAACTGACGTGCACTGATTACTGTACATGCACAAGTAGAGCAATTTTGGGATTAAAATTGAGATACATCATTTTTTCAAAGTCTTTTTCCTGGTATTATCAGATACTTTTATTCATTAGATGAAGTCTGTAAGCATGCTGTGTACTTTTTTATGTACAATTTTTCTTCCTCTAGTACTGCTGTGTACTGGTATTTCTTTCTCAGTAACACAGCACAGTTCGCTTCAAATTGATCATCAAGTTCAAGTCAATTTTATTGTCATTCGCATCACATGTGGTACATGAGGTGGAACGAAATTATGTACTCAGGATCTCAGTTACACCCAAAAATATAAAGTGTAAAAAGAAACAGTAAATAAGGATCTTAGATATACACAAAGGTAAACGCTCAACGAACACCAAATGCTACGCTAAAAGATCTTAAGATATATGCTAAACACTAATAATGGAAAACAATGTGGCGTATCCACAGCAGCCTGAAAAAGAGTCTGTGGTGAGCAGATAGGTTACGAATGGATACAGCAGCATGAGATAATCAGCAGCATGAGATGAGCAGATAGGTTACGAATGGATACAGCAGCATGAGATAATCAGCAGCATGAGATCAGCAGCATCATGTAAATCAACTAGTATTCCTAAAGACAAACCTTGAAGTATGTCTCGTAGGGTTGGTCAATGCACGGTGAACTGAAAATGACTGAACAATGTGCGTTGAATATTCACTACTTGTACTTACTTGATTTGCTACAAAGTGTTCTGACACCACTTATCTCATTTGTAGAATAATTTAAAAATAAAAGTAGCATTCTTACTTAGTAAGACTTTACAAGTCTGTTGGAGTCAGTCTCCCACCATCACAGACATTTACATCTCCAGATGCAGGAAGAGGGCCACCTGCATCATGAAGGACCCCACTCACCCAGCACACACACTTTTTGCCCCGCTCCCCTCAGGAAGGAGGTTAAGGAGCATTAAGTGTAGAACCACTAGACTGAGGAACAGCTTCTACCCTGAGGCTGTTAGACTCATGAACCTCTGAATGAATCCTTTTTGTTTGCTATGATGGATTAACTGTAGGAGCCATCTTGAATTGGCAAAGTTAATCACTTGGTATTGTCCATCCAATAATTACTTTCTGAGATTCTTTCAAAATCTGTCCAGTGATCAGTGAAATATTTTGCTAACAGACAAACCAACACAGAGGCAATTACATGATCACCTGTTTTTTGTGGCGGCAGGTCATAATTATTACAGGAAAACAATTTTGCTACTCTTTTTGAATTACTTAAAGAGTATTCAACACATCTGCTGCCTGGCATGGCTTTATTTTGCACTATGCTTCATTGTTTTGATCATCGTAAGCCAGCTGTTATAAAAGTGCAAGGAATTATGAGACATGGCTTGTTTGTGAAAAGTCGCTTATTCATTGCCCATAAATGACTAGTCTAATTGACTTGCCTCGTCCTGTTTTATTGCGTCAAATCACGTTGTGCTAAATCAAAACCTACATTGTGCGTTTTGCCGGTTTCGTTGCTCTTAATGTAACGGATGGCTGGCATTGTATCGAGATGTTATCGGACAAAGACCAGTAATACGCAATCCTGCAATTTCATTATCAAATAAATAATTTGTTCTTTCTTTCTGCACGTTTGTAATGTGTGATGTTTCGACAGCTGTTTGACTTGGTGTACAGAGAGGAGACGTTGCTGAACGTAATCAAGAGTGTGACTCGAAACGGACGCTCCATCGTGCTGACTGCTGTTCTCGCTCTCATCTTGGTCTACCTGTTCTCTATCGTTGGCTACATCTTCTTCAAAGACGACTTCATCCTAGAGGTGGACCGAATACCCAACACCACCCAGAGTGAGGACGCACGGCTGACATTCTCAACTTTTTTTTTAAACATAACAAGACCTGCGTATGAAAACAACCAGAAAACTAATGTTCTGTCCGGTCTTATTTTTTAAAGAGAACGGGGACTCTTCGGCTGAAGAGTTTTTGACTACAGGAATGTGTCACGATGAGAACTGCAGCTCCAGTGTTCTGCAGAAAGGTAACTGCTTAAGACTCCATTTGTTGGTCTATAAAGACTTTCAATGTTCAATGCTTTTGAAAAACGTCTTGTTCTAAATTTCACCTGATTTAGTGTTTAAAATCCAGCACCCACCATTTTTATACATATCCAGTGAAATATGATAGAGACACAACAAATAAATACCTCTGTTCTGTGGTAAACATTGAAAAGTAATTAACTGGATATTAGGCCTGTCGCAATAAACAATAAATCAATTAATCGTATGATAAATGAAAATTATCAACCTCATTTTCATTTAACAGCTTTATTGTTTCTTCATGTCTCTGTTTCTACTGAAGAAACTGGATGACAAAAGGCTCAACTCCAGTGCTCTTCACTGACCCCTCCCTTTCTCTTTAAAATCTGTTTTAACCATCAAAATCGCGATTTTGATGGTTAAAAGCAGCTAAGCTGAGAAGCTAAGCTACGAGCTAAGCTAACAGGTCAACCTCAGGAGGGAAAAAAAACCTCCGTCTTGTCCAAGCTCCAAAATTCACGGTTGAAATCCCTGCCTTTGTCTAAAAAGTTGTCTTTCTTTGCAAAGAGAAGCTGAGAACTTGTTTACTGATTTTTTATTAAAAGCTTTGTGTGAAAAATGCTATTCTAAAGAGCTCAAAACACATCGAGCATCTGTCATTTTGAGAACCAAAGAAAGGAAGGAGAGACAGCCCATGTCACGTCAAGGGGCCTCCCTCCCATTTTTCTTAAAAAGATACGCTGCTCGCTCCCTCACTATCCATTCTTCGGTTCAAACAGTCTTATACTTGCTGTCCAATGGTCAAAAAGGTACTACACATAAAACAAATAAACCAACATTTCTTAATTCTTGTCCAATTTCAAACTATATCATTTATCACATAAATTTCTGAGACAATTAATCGCCCAGCAAAATTTGTTATCGTGACAGGAGTACTGGATGTAACAACATAGTTCTGTGACAATTTCAAGCTGTTTCAGTCACGGCTTTGGAAACAGCTCCTTTGCTTCCATATATGGGGTGTGACGTCACACCAGGGATCTTCTGCAAAGTCGGGCGGTCTCACGAAGAAAACACCCTCATCCCCCATCTGCTTTCACCCTAGCCAAACAAACCAACAACCCCCCACATCCTTTCTTGACTGAGCCCGAAATTATTTGTCAAGCACCAAAATATCTACAGGAAGAAAAAGAAAAAGGCACGGAAGTCGAAGGAAGTTTTGTGGCGATAGATTCACAGCGACAGTGGGAGTGGGTAACGAGATTTGAAACATTTGTGATATGTAGCGTGTTTGGATTTCACAGTTAAGGTGTAGTGTCATGTAATGGACCTGCCATTCCATGTCTGCTTCTCCTTCCTGTTCCTCTCAAACCCAGCCAGTCAAAGCAGATGGCCACTTGTCCTCAGTCTGGTTCTGCTGAAGGTTTCTCCTCATGAGGGAGTTTTTACTTTCCACTGTTGACATTGTGCTTGCTCAGGATGGGAGACTGTAACAAAATGAAGGCTCAACGCGGTCTGCTTCCTTCCTTCATTAGATTAAAAACGTTTCTAATTGGCATTTATAATGTACGGTATGTGAATGTTTCTGCTCAGTGCCCTAAGATGACTTCTGTTGTGACTTGGCGCCATACCGTATAAATAAACTGCATTGAATTGTTTAGTCAGTTTTAGTGTGTTTGAGTTAAAACGATGAGATTTTTGAACATGAAGCTGCAGCTTCTGTTTGAAGTGGGAGATGAAGCCATGGAGTTAGAACCTTCTCAGACAGAAGAGAGAAGCTCAAAGGCAGAGATGATGGAGAAAAACAGTCAAGAGTCAAACAGTGAGGACTTTAACAATGAAGCATGCAATCCTCTGTTTTAGAAGAGGAAAGAGAGGAAGAGCGCACTGAGCGCCACGCTCCTGCCTGTGCCCGATCCATAAAGTCACCAGCCTTCAGTAATCATGGGCCATATGCTTTGATGTTTCTTTTGACTCTTTTTTTTTTTTTTTACATTTACATGGCCCGAATGTGAACAAACAATATACCATATTTTCTGGCGTATGCAGTATGTCGTTCCGGAGTATAAGTCGCATCAGTCCAAAAAAAAAGCATCATGAAGAGAAAATAAACATACATATC